ACGATGACTATATAATTAGGAGAGAGAGAGAGAGAGAGAGAGAGAGAGAGAGAGAGAGAGAGGATGACTAAATAATTAGGAGAGAGAGAGAGAGGTTGACTAAATAATTAAGAGAGAGAGAGGAGGACTAAATAATTAGGAGAGAGAGAGAATGAGAGAGGATGGCTAAATAATTAAGAGAGAGAGATAGCAAGGTGATTAACTGACATGCAAATTTATATTATTGATTATAGTGAAGACACGTGCGTGTCAATTTTGAGATCTGTACGCGGCAACAACTTAAGTACTTTTCAAAACCAGACAAAGACTATGACATAGAACCTGGAAGTTTCTCTTATGTAGAGGACAGATAACAATAAATTCAACACAATTAACACAATTAATGTACACAAATTTACCACACAAAATAGGGACCCCTACCTTTTCTCCTACATAGTCCATTACCCGTCCTACTATGGTGTCTGTCCAGAGAGGTCTGTACAAAGAGTACGCCTCAGAGGTACTCTGATCGTAATGAATGCCAGCGGTGGACTTGTTCGAGTCCGCCATGGTTCTTATGCTGTGGGATGTACATGTACATGTATAATATATATCTAATGATAAGTGACACTGACTACTTTTAACCGATGTTATAAAAGTAGGTCGAACGTGCTGTCTCAAACATCGGCCTTATCAGGGCCGAAGGGTAAGGAAAATGTTTGTGAAGAGTGGGGGGGTGGGGGGGGGGGGGGGTGCAGCTGTTGAAGGCCTATATATACACTCGACCAAAAAGATTCTAAACCCGCCCAGGCGAAATCGCCATCTCGCCTAGGCCTCTATGACCCCAACACTATTTTGCGTCTAGTAAAATAGCCATAAAAGATACCAAGCCTGTAAATATATCTCCTGGAAACTGATCAAAATGAAACAAATCCATGAAATTTAATGGGAAAATAATGTAAAATAAGAAAATTACACCAACATATATATGCGCCTAGGGTCGAAAACAGCCCCACCCGGTATGAATAGGGTTAATTCATTTGATAAATTGATGACATTTCGAATAAACCCTAATCGCGTTATATATACAATATAATAGCAAATGCATTTTAAATTGTTTGAAAAATATGCAAAACATTACATTTTGAAAAACCAAAGAACGTAGATAGAAACACTTATAAAATAAATAAGAATTATAATATCATAAGTAAGTCTATGTGCTCTAGAAAATGTCCAAAGTTCTAACTTCCTATCATGATAAATTCTGTGTCGACATATCCTGCATATTTTTCTCATTCCAAGCCCTACAAGCGTCAAAACCTCTCATAATAAAGTACCTGATATCAATGTTTCGTTCTGAAATATACAAGAAGAAACCCTCTGCTATCAGATGCCTCTGAAGTAGCATTCAAAATTAAAGTTGTAACAGACTTCTTGCGGACCCTGTGCTTAGAGTGGCTGCCAGTCATTTAAAACTAAATTATTGAATTTATATTATTAGAAATGGTATAAACATCACAACCAAGAGCAGGGACGAGAGTTGAATTTGGAGACCGCAGAGTTGGATTGATATATATAGAATGACTGTTTCATTGTGAATGTGCCCTTAGAAGCGTTCAAATAACTCTCATTAGAGCATTTTTTTTTTTGGTTTAGCATTAATTTTGAAGCGATTGCGTAAAATGTGGGTAAAATATGGGTTTGTTAGAAGTAAACCGTCAACTATGAAGGCGAGACTTTTTTCACTCAACCTTTGACTGCGTGCTTGTAAGTTAGCTTAAACTGGAAAAAAAATAATAATCAGCATAAACGTATTACTGGTAGAAGGATATAGATACAAAAATAAGTAAAATCACTTTTATTTTGCTATTGCTTTAATTCAGGGATGGAAATTTACTAATCAAAAAGACTCCAGTCCGTTCTGGTACATTTTTTGTAGGGATAATGACAAAACTAATATTCTTTAAATTGACTTATTATAAGGTAAAGAATTAATTAAATTTTGAAAAAATCTCATTTAATATATAATAAATTTTAATTTTAAATATTTCAGTCAATTTCAAACACTTGTATGATAGTTCTTTGGGGATTTTAGCCCAGCTAATATCTTTGCACTGCGCTCAAAACGCGTGTGGATAGATATCTACCTGTAATAATACTCCGTAAAGATACCATTTGTGTGTTTCAACAGCAGTCGTGGCCGAGTGGTTAAGGCGACAGACTAGAAATCTGTTGGGGTCTCCCCGCACAGGTTCGAATCCTGTCGACTGCGAATTTATTTTCTTTTAATATCACTCTTATAATGTGAAAAGGGCACATTGTGATAATTCATGGCAAATAGACGCTTTCTTTGTATCGACAATTTTATTATGTAAAAGATATTAAGAGTGATTTATCATACATGTATCAAAAAGTTTGGTAAAAAGTATTCGAAGTCCATAGCATGCCTCGTCATGGGCCTCTAAAATTATAAGCAATCGAATGAAAAGGTAGAATCTAGAAGATGTGCCATCTTGGCTGCCAGTGGAATTGCGTAGAATGTGGTGAAAGAGGTAAAAATTATTTATATCTTTCAGTTTCACAACATATGCGTGCATCTGTTGCATTATTTTCTTATTAAGTTAGCAATCTAAAGGAAGAGTGTGGTTACTGGAGTATATTATACCTGTCCAGTTGCAAGTATTTTTCTTAAAAGGAAAACTACGCCTTTTATAAAATGAAAAGGTATCTAATCACGTCTTTCTTGTTTAACCGTAGGGCTAGTTCAGTGAAAAAATCTTATCTATTTTTTTCTGATTAATGTAAAAGTGGAAATTTCCAATCATTACGATTAGAAAACGGCAGTCGTGGCCGAGTGGTTAAGGCGACAGACTAGAAATCTGTTGGGGTCTCCCCGCACAGGTTCGAATCCTGTCGACTGCGAAATTTTTTTTCTTTTACTATCACTCTTAAAAATGTGAAAAGGGCACATTGTGATAATTCAGGACAAATAGGCGATTTATTTGTATCGACAATTTTATTATGTAAAAGATATTGAGAGTGATTGATCATATATCTATCAAAAAGTATGGTAAGAAGCATCCGAAGTCAATAGCATGCTCTAAAATTATAAGCAATTGATTGAAAAGGTAGAATCTAGAAAATCTGCAAGTATTTTCCTTAAAAGGAAAATTACGCTTTTTATAAAATGAAAAGATATCTAATCACGTCTTTCTTCATACTAGTTCAGTGCAAAATATTCATCTATTTTTTTCGATTAATGTAAAAGTGGAATCTTCCAGTCATTACGATTAGAAAACGGCAGTCGTGGCCGAGTGGTTAAGGCGACGGACTAGAAATCTGTTGGGGTCTCCCCGCACAGGTTCGAATCCTGTCGACTGCGAACTGTTTTCCTTTTCACTGCAGTGACAAAGGCACTTAATAATATTTCAGTGTTTAAACAAGGTGTTACAACACTAACTCCTTGGTGTAAAGGACAAATGTGATGGTGATAGTTATTATATTGTTGACTGGTAAATTCATTTGTCCTTTGGTGTAATATTAATATTCTCGTGTGGCCCGATGATCGCCGTCATGCTTTCTGATTGGTTGTTGTTATCTTGTCTGCCCTTGCTGCTAGCGCGAAAGTGTTAGATTAAAAAAAAATTCATTCCAGTTGTTATATATCTCGTCAGACACCCTAGCTTATCACCATTATTAAGGCGAGAGATGGTAACGATCTTTGACAGAGGACGACAAAAATTCAGGATGGTCTGCGAAACGCTTCTGATATATGACGTTTTTAAGGATTGGATTAACTTAAGACGCCGTTGAGCGTTTCAGTATCGAAAGAGCGATCAAACTCCGTCTCTTGAACTGATTCGATCCCGTAGCACAGAAAACTTTTTCCGTTCATCCCAAAGAAAAAAAAAACAGTAGGCCTACGTTATCATAACATTTTGTAGTTATATTAACGTAATGGTAACGTTATAATAACGACCTGCAGGCCCATAACCAGCAATTTCAAAAGGGGGGTTCTTTTTCTGAAGAAGTGGACCTTTTACCATGAAACCTTCATGTGCCTAGATAAATTTTTACCCAGAGGGGACCTTTTCCCAGCAAAAAGGGGTTCTTTCGAACCCCCGAACCCCCTCTGGCTATAGGCCTGACCTGTGTATACCGGGATGTCCCCTCATATTCCGCACCCAGCGATTATGGCGTTCATAGCATGCCTAAATAGTCCTTCCATCTGACATTTTGTCACGCAGGATGACTGGCGTTTTAGTCCAGTATGCCACGTTTTAACAATGTGGTTCCCTACTTTGCTCTTGGTCTTTTCCGTCCTATCTCATCCCATTCATTTTTAAATCACAAATTGCAGAAAAAAGATAGTAACGATATGTATAACAAATGTGCTTTTACCTAGACGGTGTCCTCTCCGCGTCCCGCACGGCCCCGTTTGAGAGTGAAAAAAAAATACTTTACGTGCCGACACCTGGCCGATCACTGAGCATTCATTCTGCAACCAAAGGGGTGCTTGTGCTTTCTTTTTTACATCCACAGCAATGCCAGTTTCATGGTCGCAGAAAGGACGCTGTCCAGTGTAAAGGGGGTTTAAGAAGGGGTGGATGTAGCCCGTAGGTGGGGTAATCAGGAGTTCGGAAGAACCATCCTTTGGAAAGGAAAAAGTCCGCTCTGAATCAAAATTTGATCTGGATTTTTTTTTTGCAAATTCTCCAGTGGTGACAACAAAGTGGGTTTAAGGTTCGATTATTAGGAAAAAAACCTTCCTTCAAGTTTTAAATTGCTGGCTACATGGCAAGTGAATCATTTTGTTACTAACGTATTCCAATTACATGGAGTCAGAACATAGTCATATAGATAACAAAGCGCACAATTTAATATATTTCACCCATGAAGTGAATCTCAAAATTAAAAGTCAATATTTATTTGAAGCGCTATTTTGTGTTTGAATGCGATATCATTATAGACCAACTGTGTAAGATGAATAAAATTAATTCAAGGATAATATACAAGGTTTTATTGCATAAAATGAACTATAAAATGTATTGTGTACAGTGCCAGTGTTGTCAACGTATTACAAGAGTATCTTAGGAAAAACATTCTTTAAGTGCCAATAATTCACAAAACTGGTCATTATAATTATATAAACAGGTATCAAACAATTGATATTGTAGTGTAGGTGAAGCACAATGGCATTACAGTGTAAAACACTTCTAAGCAACGACTGGAGGTGGTGGATTGCAGGCGATATAGAAGTAATGTGATATGGTTATTCTAGAATTTTACATAGCTTCTAGAATCTCAGTAATGATCTGCTCATTTGGGAAAGTTCCTATAAAATATTAGTATATCTCTATTTGAAAATCAGAGCACTTAATAATACCAGAGCACTATTCTTGTAACTTTAGATGATCAAACTCATCATTAGTTTCTGTCATAATAAAAACCTGTATTTGGAAGCAATCTAAGTATGATGGTATGAACAATGCCGTCACATTGGTCCTTACCACCAAAGACACCCTATTGCTTGGAAAAAGATGAAGTAATGATTTCATTGTGTAGGTAGCTATGGATTCAATCTGACAAAATACACTTGAAAGTCAAGAGCAATACCAAAGAATAAAAGTGTACATATATAAGAACAGCCCAAATGTGTCAATATTCTACTGTAAATGCACTTGTGGCAAAAATATAATCTAAATACTGCATTTGTTTAAAAGTACTGTGAAGTGTGATATGTCAGAAGGACAGAGAGAAAATATTTTCTTTATTGATCCAGGACCATCTTTCTTTTTAATTTGAATGGAAATTTAAATAACTTATGGAAAATTAAATAATTTAAGATACAATATTTTATATCTATGCTTGAATTTCAAAACAAGATGTGTTACTTCCTGGGCACAAAATCTAGTGAGCTGCACTCAAGCAAATGCCAAAAGTGAGTGCAAAACAACACTCAGGTGGGCACCAGTTACCAACAGGTTACATTCTGAAAGGTAGTTTGTAAATAGATTTTGTCCAAAGTCCAACAGAAATGCTGTTTATTTCAAATGACACTAATCATATGCTTTTGACTTTGTGCCCTTAGAAGCAATTTCAGTGCAATTTTTGTTATTTTGATGCATTTTAAATTAAGACATTATTCTACATGTGCTAGTAACATGTTGCATTTTAAAAGGCAAATCTGTGTTGCATCTTTAAAATATTTTAGGGGGCAACAAAAATATGAGACATAAAGTAGTGATCTGAGAAACAGGAAGTCACAGTTCCTATTTGCAGTTGCAAAGGAAGGGTCCATAAAAAAAGAAAAAAAAAAAAAAAACGAACACCACTGAAGATGATTAAAGACTAAAATGTAGGATAACATAGTTTTTCATAGTAAAAAATAAAATAAAATTATGCACTCTGATATAAAATCATTTCACTCAAAATTGATTACGTCTAATGTGTAACAAAAGTGCAAAGGTCAAACAGTTATACTAAAAGTTGTACATAAATAACAGATATGAACAGAATTCAGTGAAGATTGCAAGCTCTTAACCCCAGCTTCAACCAAATAAGGCACTTAAAAATACAGTAATGTCAGTGACAGTCACACACGTCAATGTCTTTTCATACTTATATGAAGCTCCATGAATTGAACAGCAGTGCTTATGCATGCAGGCCAGCAGGGAATTCCCTTTGCTTGCTTATGTATTTCTGTCATCAAAGACAAATAATCTCTCGCTTCAGTTTGATCATTCTCCACTTCTTTCTATGTCTTTTAAACCAATGTAAGTCTTCTTCACTCTCTGATGTCTGCAACCTCTTCACCTTTTTTCTTTACCAACTTCAGACCGATATGAACTGTGGCATGCAGTTCGAAGCTTCCAGTTAAATTTGCTCTTCATACGGACGTTGAAAGCTCTTGGGTCAAGGTCAGTATATTGACCTTTAAGGTCAAGGTTATAAAATCCACATCGCCATATACTGATGTGGTGATACAAACCCCCTTTCACTATTAGAAGCCACTATTTACCCTGTTTAAGATCTCAACACCCCTACTGGGAGAGCTTACTATTCTGCCTGTCTGTATTACAGAACAAGCTGGATGAGTTCATTTTTGTTGTGTAAGGGGTGATGGGTTAAGACTGGAATTCTGTATACCCTTCAGCACCTGTGAATATCACATCTACCCATATCCGCATAGCTTCGGGAGACGGCGAGACTAGATAATACGTGCGATCGTAAGTCTTCACACAGAATGTCAATTTAGTATTGGGACTCTTCACAGTTCTTAAATGGTCCACGTACACCTCCTCGATGGCCTGAAAGTACATCCCTCCTCTGGGTTTGGCTTCGGACTTGTCCGTGTAGTATAAAAATGACCGCCTCACGCGGTCAAACACAAACCAACGTTTATGCCACGTTTTGAATCTATTGCCCATCTTGTGAAGGTAGCCCTTACAGCTGACCGCATCCAGTACGACGTGAGGACACAGCTCCAGGTTGTGACCGGCACTCTCTATGTGGAGACGGAGGTTGAAGTCCTTGCTTTTTACAGGAAGGTACCTTGTCAATGGACGGGACTGGAAGATACAGAAGACTGCATGTATTAACCACTGGCAGTAAAGATTTTCTTTAGCTTTGTTAAATACTGTGTTTCTTCAAATCAACAACCAGAATAAATAAGAGTTCATCTAGCTCTGATCTTAGTAGTTTTGAAAAATCTATTTTGCTAATGACATGTTTACAAATTTATAGTTGTTTTTTTGTGTGAATGGCTCCCATTGTAAGAAAAGAAATTAAACAAAACATTAAGGCTTGCATAATATGACAGTTTGCCAAACAGGATGCGCTAGTTGAGACAAAGACACAATGTTCTCTGACTGTGCTAGTTGAGACAAGAACACAATCTCACCTGCTGCCTTTGCTTCTCCCTCATTTTCACTTGTTGCTCCACCAGCTCTTCACGCTTTGCTATCTCATCCTGCAGACGACGCTCAAGGTCCTCTCGACGCTGCCTCTCTGCCAGCAACTGGCGCATCTCAGCCTCTCTGAACTGGACCTAGAAGGTGGAATGTGTGAAATGTGAATGTGTACAAAAACTTACCCTTGAACTTACACAGTATCCCTTTGCAATATATTAGGTCTGCCACAAACTTTTTGCAAATTCGTTGCAAAATTGCAAAAGGAATATTACATTTTTGTAAATTTGCAGCAAATTGACAGCAATACAAATTGTTCTTGCAAAATCTTTGAAGCAAACTTTTCAATTCACTATTATTTTCATCTGTATGGCCTCAAAATCACCAAAAAGCTTTAAATAAACTCGCTGATGAAACCCCCAGTAAGTGTAAAGGAATATGGTTTAGTAATCATGCTTGCCCTTTAATTTAAGAGTAGATGCATAAGATGACATTTTGGAGGGGAAGCTAATGACTTTTATGACTGAAGGTTTCGAAGTTCCTTAATGAAAGGAATTGAAAGGAATATGTGTCTTAATTATGGGAAGTCAATGTTAAAGAAAAAATAAAATAAGGTTAGAATATTAGAATATTTCAAAATAGTAAAAGGTACATATTTTTTCTGAGGTAAATATTACTTAAAAAATACAATGGATTTACAGCTTAAATGCCAGAATGGCTTTCTGGTAATCATATATTATTTCTGGTCTGACTTAATCCTGCTGTGAACACAGCCAGCCCTGTACTGGAGTTCTGCCCATACCTGGTTTTCCAGCTGTTTTATCTTCTCCGTCTGTGCCTGGGACAGTGTCCTCTCCATCTCTGTCAACTTCTCCAGGTGGTCCTCACCACTGCTCAGGCTGAAAGAGACAGGGAACAAAACTGAATATAAAATATGACATGAAAAAGTGGCAATGTACTATATCATTTTCTGTACCAAACTGCTTCAGTAGAAATGTCCTGGTTAATCCCACCTCTGCCCTGGCTGAAAATCACCCAGAGAATTATTCTAATTGTGGAGAGGACTGCTCAGGGTATGATAAAAGGTTATTGCTGACCGCAACGATCATAAATAAAATCTGCCAATGAATGATATCCAACAGTTGCAATAACACCACAAGGCAAAGACAAAGTGATCCCAGTTACCTTTTCCAAATTGCAACACAATGTGTTGTTGGTTTAAAATAATTTATTTATGCTATTCAAGTTAGATGATCAGTGAACCATATTCATAAAATTTATCATTTTCATTTTATAGAGATGAGAGAAAAAATGTTGAAAAGACATAACATTAAACAATGTCATCTGGAGCCCAGAAGTCAACAAAGTTGCCTATCTTATCTCTTTTCATACATACACATTCATCCAAACATCCATACACAAACCAAAGAAACACCCAAGGATTAGGATGTTTATCAAGATTTCCTATAACCAAAGGCTTAAGAAATGACCTTCACCTCTACCTGCCCTTGACCTTATACCTGACCTTGACCTAACTGCAAAGTCGTGTGATTTTTACCTGTAGAAATGAATCTCTACCACCTTGCTCTTCCTGGCACATTCCCCCAGGTCCAGACACACAGTTTGTGGCCTGCTACGCTGGTGGCTCCTCTTACTTTGGTGGACTATCTCAAACACTGGGTGGGGACCCGAGTCTTGGACGCAAGATCTCTTGACATTATTACCAGAAAATAAACTGCAGGATTTCCATCTCCTGAGAAATGAGGTAGTTTCCTCCTGGTTTTTCTTTTTCCTTTTGGAAAACATGTTGCTAAAAGTGTCAGTGGTTTAGATCTCACTTTAGTTGTTTATATTTACACAATACTGTTGACCCTCATTTCCATAAAATGGGTAACGCTTTTGATAAAATGTGTGAGATACTGTTCACTGTCTTCAGAATGCAGATGTTCCTTTTACTGAAAATTCTTAATTATCCATAGTACCAAATCAATAAGTAACTGACAAAAACCATCATCTCAATACAAAAAGTATCTGCCTTATTTTTCACAGCTGCTTCCTATTTAAGAACTGCCGAGGACAGTTTGAACAATATCCATGAATTCATCAAACCATGAACTCCCAAGTCTCCAGTTTTATCCTAATTGTATCTCTTGTAGAAACACACAAAACAGGATTCAAGCTTGCTACTTCTTATAAAACATTAACTGATGATTCAGTGTTAAGGCTGATGGATATTTCAGCTCCACCTCTCTCTTCAGACAGGTTGTGTGGTGTTTAATGTCTTCTCAGCTATTCCTGCACATGATACTTTTATGATAATTTCCTTCAGCAACATGTTTTTTAATGCTGTTGTTCTTGTAAATTTAGGATAAACAGGGATCGGCATTCAAACAGCAGTGTTTCTAGGTAATAATCAACAGGAGCCATACCCCTGGTGAAACAGACTGCTATATTTTACATGTAGCTTCTCATAGGGTACCTTGGGAGGATTCCAATATGCTTCTTTTCCATGTGTATCTATCTACTGAATAATAACATTGGTCAATGTGTCGGTAAAAAGCTGCTGGTTTTCCCTTTCACCTTGTACATATTGAAAAACGAAGCAATCCTTTAATATCAAAAGCAACTTTTCAAGCAAGGTCTTTTTTTTAAAGAAACCATTACTGTACCTTTTTTCCTATCCATTTTTATTTCCTTTAAATAGTAATCATAAAAGGGTGTAAAAAGTTTCTTTAAGCCTTTATCTCCTTTCTCTTTGAAATTATATTTTCCTTTACTATAACTTATCTAGACATATCAACCTAAATGAAATATGAAATAAAACCTCTTCAATGATCAAGTTGTTCTTCTACATCTGTATCTATTTAGTCGTCCATCACAATTCCTCTTGATTAACACCTATTCCTTGTACTAGTTGAGCAAATGTCTCCCTTTATAAAAGTGACGCGCAAATGTCTGACAATTCTGCACATCTAAAATGCTAGTCAGTCTGGTATGAGATGCTGCTTTCCTTTTTGTTCCCTAAGTATTAAGACCATTTCACCTTTTCCCCCTCAACATTCTATTGCATAAACAAGGGAAGGATATGCAGTACATTCAATATCTTTCCTATTGCCATTTCCTTTGCCTCCCACAACTGATCTCCCATTCACAAGTGGGTGTTCCTGAGATTTCCATGCAATGGCATAGCTTCCAATTCCTTCCAGTGCAATTCCCTTTATTTCTCCTGTAAAACCCCAGCTACCAGCCCCAATCCAGAATAATATATTGTTTCTACTGCAAAGCAGCAAAGGTTCTTGAAAAGGTAGTGTCACACTCTGGCCTTGAACACTCAGAACAGCATTGGAGTAACAACTGGCAGTGTGCTTCTATGTTTCCCAATCATGATGGACTATCTCACACATTACATATCTGCATCAAGAGGCCCCCAGCTTCCCTTCCACCACTTCTACCTCAACCTGTGCCACTTGGTCTCTGCCAGACTCTGACCAACCTCACGCTGCTCTGGCCTTGGCACCCACACTCCTTAACATTTAAGGTTGAAATCCTTGGCAAATTAATGAGAAAATATGCCACTAAATACCATCATCCTTATCCAGTATTATATACATCTAACAAGGGAACCGTGAACATGGATCCAAAACAAGGTGCCTTTTGAGCATGGTCACAAGGGCCTCAATTTGAAAGTGCAGTGCCCCCTAGTGTGCATTTTTAATATTTCATTGAACTTTTTACATGATAGTCTACAGCATGGACACAGTCCAAGGTACCATGGATATACAAATTACTGGGCCCCTATGACTGAAAACAAGGCCCTTGGTATTCGTACCACAAACTGTTTGTTTATAAAGCACAGAATGTTGTAGATTTTCAGTCAGTAAAGCCTCACATTTACATTAAAGATTCCACTTAGGAGAATGTTCTACATTACCAAAACATACCATGGTAAGTGGAGGGGCTGGTAACAGGCAACAATCTGCTCTTAACTCGGACCTCCCATAAGAACAGTTGCTCTTCTGGTTATTTCAAAAACTTATTCTAAATGGACACCATATCGCCTATCTTTCTGTGATTGAAAGCCTACCCAGTTATCTACATAGAAAACTGACTGAGTAATATTCTAATAGCTAAAGATCATTCTATTAAGGTGGTTTGATTGGTTCTCAAGGGGTCAATGCAATTCTTGAAGGGTTTAAGTTTCAACCTTTTGGTTGATATTAAAAAGCATGCTTACAGAGAACCATGATGGCAACTGAATGGTTCTACGTTCAACAAAGGGGTTAGATAACCTTATGCTGAAGGAAAGAACAGGCACAATACATAAGCTATCCACCGAATATTCCTACTTAGCTCAGTGGTCAAGATGCTCCTTTCATCCTGCAAAGAAACACTAACTTAAACATTCACTGCTCTGGAGGAAACTGAAACTCTATTTAAACAAATATACAGAACTGGTGGGCACCTATGTCCTATGGCTAAATCACAGGGCTGCAGAATTTGGGGGTAAAAATAGCTTTAATGGGATCATTGCACTCCTTAAAGCCAGCAGGGGCCTAATTTCTGTGAAAATTCCTTGAACTGTGTTTCCTAAGTCTTTTCAACTGTACTGCATGGTTACCTGTGTAAAAGGTGGATTTTGTTACCTGGATTAGCGGCAGGTGAAACAGCTGACTTGGCCATGTTTACAGTATGAAGGAAGTTATCCTCTGGCCAATTCTAATTGTGGCTTTTCTGCTGGTGAAATCAATCCTTAAGTTTTTATGGGGCAAAACACTATATGGACAATTTAGTGAACGATATTTCAACTCTGCAATATTTTTTTCATAGCTCAGTGTTTAAGTAAAAAAAAAAAACAACCTTGGTTGAGAGTCAATTTAATTGAAAATAGTTGATGCTTTTCAGTAATATCAAACATTACAAAACAGTTTCTAGCAATAAAATATATCTTGTTCATATATCTAAGATCAGTACTTCTATGGGCCTAAGTCAATCAGGTTTCCTTAGTCAGTCTAATCTTCAACCATCTTTGGTATATATATATATATCAGCCTAAAAAGCCATACAAAAGAAAGTTGTCTGGCCAATGCAATTCCAGCATAATACAATTATCAGACATTATTGAGAATTCTCTGTAATCATTCTGTGAAGAGACCACATCCTACCAACCAAAATCTCCTTACCTGACCTGTTGACTTCACTCTCCCAGACAGACAAGTATTCAGCGCTATTTCTGCTAAATACTTACAGTTTACCTTTGATATTACATACTCCATCACAACACACCTACAAGTCAACAACTCTCTTCTTCAGATAAAAGAGTTAGGAAATAGACTTAGGCAGAGAATACACAGCACTGGAATGGTACAACCAAAAACGTTGTTGTACAATATTTCCCCTTAGGGCGATTATTTTTTCTTGGCAAGTATAACCAAAGGTTGTGGTTCCATTTTCATGTTCATGTCTGCCACATTTTTGTCCTAAAAGTCTTCGAATTACTTGTTATAAAGAGTTATGTAAGGAAAAAAGTTATTTCTATATTAATATCTTCTGAGATTCTTTTTCGACAAGCACATTTATACTCTACTTTTATACTTAAACATAATACAGAAGTGCAGTCTTAAGTAAATCTCATCAACCTGATTCCAACATAGTTTTTATTTACAGCCATTTCTTCTTTATAACAAAATCACTTTTTCCTATATATTTGAAATCATGCAAAATCACTTTCAACAGAATGTGTTTGTTTTTTCCATAAACAGCCTATAATGGCGGAGAGCCTGAGGCAGTCAGGTAATACAGGTAATTCAGACCTCTTTTTTTTTTCTTAATTAAGCTAATAAGCAAAGGGCTGGTGGATACATTAGAAGTAGTGGAGAGCCAGGAGTATCTGATTTACCTG